GAACACTTTACTTAGTGCCTGGGGAGGTGGACAGCATGTGAGAGGAATTAACACAATATTGGTGCAACCTTTGCCATGTGTGCAAACCCCAAGACTTTACCATCCCTATGTTTCAACATGCTGGAAAGTATTTATCAAAGTTTGTATATCAGTGCTTTGTAAATGGTAAATAGTTCTAATGCTCTTCATCTACAAATTACAAGTCCTTGCCCTTTCATTAATCTTCTACCCCCAAAAAAACCCTGAGGTACTGGTATCAAAGGTCATATTAGCAATTCTATCACAGTGAGGAGTCATGTCTGCATTCCCCAAGCTTAAAGTGTTGCTGTATCCACCAGGAAGTGCTATGGCCCGTGTTAATTGTGGAGTTGACTGCCTACCTCTAATTCTGATTTGATGTCTCTATTTTTAATGTTATATACAGGAACGTCTTTAAAAATGTCTGCAAATACTGGGAGAAAGGACTTGATTTGACTTTTTAAACTTCCCACAGGTTGCACTGGAGCTCTGGCTCATGAATTAGTACAAATATACCCAAATCTCAAGGTCACAGTATTTGACCTTCCAGAAGTCATTGCAAACACTTCTTACTTTCAGCCTTCAGGAAAACACACAGCTCCAGTGACATTTGTATCAGGTAAATGTAACACATGATCTTTTGTCTTATTTCTGTTAACCTGGAGCACAGAGCAGGCTCTTCTGCTGCAGAAAACGGTGTGCTACCCTGCTCCACCCCAAATGTGTGTCTTAGTACAAGGCAATGTAGGCTTACCCATGCTAAATGGGGACATTGTATTTCTCAGGCCTGTGGGGATAAAAACAAACTGGTTATAGCTGGAGAATGTGGACAAACAAGGAAGTATGAATTAGCCATTTTTGAGTACTACTGGGAGTAGAGGCTGCATGTCCTTGTCTCAGGCTTTGCTTTTCTAGGGAAGATTAACGTGGTGGCTACAAAGGACTTGGATGTCTCCTTCCTTACTTTAGGCTTTCTCTCTGTTTTTATATGTTACCGAATTCTTACCTGTGACCGTTCTTCTCTTAATTATGCTTTCCTTATCTGCAAATCAGTGCATACCTATACCTGTTCATTCTTCTTTCTTTCTTTACCTCTACTGAAGCTCCTAGTTCCTCTGCAATATTTTCATTTCATTTTGTAGGAATGTACTCTGTGGTTTCTGTAGCAATGTACTAACTCTGCTTTCCCACAGGTGACTTCTTTAAGGATAATCTTCCAGAAGCAGATCTTTACATCCTTTCACGTGTTCTTCATGACTGGCCTGATGAAAAGATACATGTGCTGTTAAGCAAGATATCATCTGTTTGCAAACCAGGTAAGTTTTTTCATCTTGTGGGCTTAAAATGTGCATGTCAATGCATAACCATAATGAGTAGTCACAAGAAATACATATTAAAAATGTGTATTTTCCTGTCCAGTCACAGTAGCCTTTGCTTGAACATCTATGCTTGCATTATGGTAATACCTACTAAAAAAAAAAAGGAAACAAAGCCGCTAATAAAACTATATAAAATAAGCCTTTACTATGCTTGCAGGCTTCACATACAACTATGTTATCTCCCCTATCTCTGCCACGCCTAGTATTTCTTACTAAGATCTGTATCATCAAACAACCAAGCATGTGCATATTTCTTACATACAAGTAGTCTTAACTAAAGTTCCTTCAGGTTAATTAAGAAGCAGTTTAGTTTGCTATTCAAGACGCAGTTTGTTTTGCTGTCATTTTGCTCTCTCAGTAGTGCCCAGAACATGGTAAACTGGAGTTCAGCACTACTTTATGCATGGATTTCATGAGAATATGTAGCTTCTGCTTTCTCCTACACCTGAATCATAGAGTATCTCAAGTTGGAAGGAACCCCTAAGGATCATTAAGTACAACTCCCTCTCAGGAGTACCTAAAACTAAACCATATGACTAAGAGCATCATCCAGATGCCCCTTGAACTCTGACAGGCTCAGTGCCCTGACCACTTCCCTGGGGAGCCTGTTCCAGTGACAGGCCACCCTCTCAGTGATGAACCTTTTCCTAATGTCCAGCCTGAACTTCCCCTAATGCAGCTTCATTCCGTTTCCTCGTGTCCTATTGCTGGTCACCAGAGAGAGGAGATCAGCACAGCCCCCTCTGCTGCCCCTGTTGAGGAAGTTGTAGACTGTGATGAGGGCACCCCTTAGCTTTCTTCAAGCTGAACAAACCAAGTGACCTCATAAGTCTGGCCCTCGAGGCCTTTCGCCATCTTGGTCACCCTCTTCTGGCCATGCTCTAATAGTTTGATGTCCTTCTTATATTGAGGTGCCCAAAACTGCAGACAGTACTTGAGATGGGCTGCACCAGTGCAGTGTGGAGTGGGACAACTGCCTCCCTCGACCAGCTGGCTGTGCTGTGCTTGATGTACCTCAGGAGTCAGTTGGCCCTTTTGGCTGCCAGGGCACAGTGTTGACTCCTATTTGGACAGTATTAAAGATCAAAGGAGAAGACAAAAAGCAGAAAGTCCTGACTGCTAAGATCAACTCATTCCTTAATCCAACAGGATTAATTGTAGCTATGAAGTTTGTTTCATAGAAGAGCATTCAGAATTAGACCTAGGCCATAAGGCATAATCCTGTTTATAGATTATGAAAGAAAATTGTGGGTGACTGTCTTAATCTCACACAAAGATTGTGGTATGACAGATGCTTACAGGAGTTGCTTGGTTGAAATGGAAACAAGACTGAGTTTGAGTGTAGTCAGGAAGTGATCTGAATTTTATTGAAGTGGAGGCAGTGCTCTAAGCTCCACCTTCCTTTTAGCAATTAAATGGTTGCTTCAGGGAAGAGATTACTGGAAGTAAAGTTCTGCTACTGATTTCCACTGAAGACCATTAAAATGCTAGACTGAGGGACCTCTATAGCTGTCTCTGACTAAAAACTTGAAGCTAGAAATACTTTACTGAAGCACTTTTGGTTGTTTTGGAAATGCAGGAAGTGCCTTGCTAGTGGCAGAAATTGTGCTTGATGAACAGAAGACACACCCTTCTAGAGCTGTACTACAGTCCCTCAGTATGACTGAAGGCAAGCAGAGAAGTGGCTCAGAATATAAACACCTACTGGAGAAATACGGATTCACGAATATACAAATTAAGATCACAGGAAACTTACTAGATGCTGTTTTGTGCTTCAAGAAGAATCTGTCACTGTAGTGTGCCCGAAGCAAATTGGGATGCTGAGTTTTTCCAACGCTTGTGCAATATACCCATCCTCAACCAGCACGTATTGCCAGTTCGGGATCATTTTGATCCTTTATCTGAAGCATAGTTATTGCAGGCCTTGAATAAAAGTTGGACTTCAGCTTCTGCAGCAAGTGAGTTCTGTGCATTTAAAAAGTGTCTGCAGCAGGCTGAAACTCTTACGTATTAAATACCTTCATGTCCAGTCCTTTTGGCTAGTTTGCAGACTGTATTAAGCTTAGACTTGACATAGCTGTATAGCATGGCAAGTTAAAACTACAAGCTTTTATAAGCCACATTGATACCTTAGTTTTCTTGGACCTTAAAATTAAAGAGAATTCTCCTTCTGCAGTGTATTCAGTGGTTACTGCTCATTTTTATCAGAAACAAAAAGTTAAAAATGAATACTGTACCATCTGGGGATGGTAGTCCTCTTTTTCACTTTTCTGTGGAGCTTTACTCAAAACAGTTTTAAGGATACCCTTTTTTAAGTGGTTCTTCTGCAGGCAAAAGTGAAAATATGACAAAGCTCAAATGTGTTCCTGTATCAGCTGTAATGTCCCAGAGAAACTTTGGCAGGCTCTGACCTCCAGCCACAGTATGCACCCCCACAGGCTGCAGATGAGAGCTGTTCCTATTGGTTCCTACCACTTTCAGGTTTTTCTGAATATGGTTAAATAGCTATATATGCTTTCTGTCTCATTACTTGAGCTGAGTTTTAGGAATTATGTATAAATTCTCTTATGAAAATTAAAAATATAAGTTTCTTTATGTTCCAGTCTTTAATTGGAGAAATATATACTGTATCCCATCTCTGCAAGTAATTTGTCACTAATGTCACCTCTCCTAATGTTTATTTTTTCCTGATACTTCATTGATATTTATTTTTTCTATTTAAAGTGTACTTTGTAGTGGAAGCCTTCCTGGAGATTAAAGTTGCACTTTCAAACTAGCTTCCTTCTCCATCAGTTGTGAGTTTCTCATCTGTCACACTTCTACAGCAATAATCCCAGTAAGCCACCGTGAAAGAGGCCATGCCTATGCTGAATCACCAACGTCAGCAAATTATAGAGAGTTGATGAGCAAGGTCAAGAGTTAGATATGCCTGGTAGACTCTGTCTTATGTTCCTTAATCAGACGTTACTTTGCTCTTTGAGCACTGAGTAAAGCAAAAGTCCCACAGTGATTCAGTTCATTACGGGAAGCATGCTTACTACAGAGAATTTCAGCTGCACAAAGTCAGAGAAGTGTCAGACTTTTACCACACTGGGGTTTTTAATTCTTAGCAGAAGGTTTTTTATGAATGGAAATTTGACTGACCTCATATGTACAGACATTTAAAGAGATAAGGTGAAATATTCAACAACTAAATAAATTTAATTTTTTTTTTCCATATTGACATAAAGCTTGCCATTATGCTTAAGAGGTTTGTATTGTGAGAGAGACTCATTCTAGCGATTGGATGTTTCTCATCTCACAGTTATTCATGAAGTTCGTAACACTATTATTTAAGCTGTTGTAAGCTGTTTGAGTCAGAAAATTTCAATCCTAAAGTTGGCACACCTGTAACTGTCACAGACTTTTAAAACTGTGCCCGTAAGTACTATACATCTTACTGTAAAATTTGAATAGAATGTGCTTGGCTACCACACAACCTCAATGTACTCTGTGATTAAAGCACACCACCATACACACTAAGCATTAGTCCCTTGGGCATGGTGTCTGTGGTAATGCACTGCAGCTTTGCCCTCTCGGGATAATTAAGCGTTGGAGCAGGTTGCCCGGAGAGGTTGTGGAATCTCTGTCCTTGGAGGTTTCAAGATCTGAGAACAAAGCCCTGAACAAGCTGAGCTGACTGTAGAGCTGCCCCGCTTTGAGCGGGAGGTTGGACTAGAGAACTCCTGTGGCCCATTTTGGCCTGAGCTATTCTATAACCATTTGATGTAGCCCAGTCACCTGAGAAATTATAAACTCTTCTCATTAATGTCCAAATCAAGTTTTTCAGTTGCTCTGGAGAAAGCTGGTATCTTTTGCTGACTGATGGAAGGGGTGGACTTAATGGTGTTACACTGAAAAGACTTCCTAAGCAAAAGGTGTAACTGAGGAAGATTTGGGCCTGGTCACTAATCAAGACATGAAGAAGGAGGGGCCTGAGTTTTAAAATCCAAATGAACTTCTGCCAATAAAGCCTGTAGGTTTTGTGTTGCTCCTTGGGAAGTGACAGCTATTAACAGTTCTTGTGCCTGGAAAAGTAATGGGACAGAGGCGAAGGGTAGTAGTATGTCATCTGAGCCACCCAGCACAAAAATTTAGGAAGGGTCATTTAATGGCTAAACCCCTTTGTGTGAGTGCTCAGTTCAGTTTTGGATGCATTAGCTGACTCCTGGATAGTGGAAATATTTAATGTGGGGTTTTGTTTTGGTTTTAAAAAAAGTTTTTGGAGGGCTGGCTCTGCCCTTCCCTTCCCCCCTGCCCCCACCCCCCCCCTTTTGGCTGGAAATTATGTCCTTGCTAAACAATGATAATCTGGATTAAATTACTTTCTAATTCGGAAAAGACTGACCATTAATTTTTATCTCCTATAGAGCCATGGCCAAAATCTTGTCATCCAAGTATGCTTCCTTGAAAGGTAGCTCTGTTTCAGTCCCTCTCATGAAGAAATTTCAATTACATTAATAAATCTTTATTAACTGTAGAGAGATTGGGGGTTTTTCCCTGTACTAACTTCATTTACTGTGTCTAATTTTTGAAGGTGTTCTTCCCACATTGGTTGTGCTTTCTGGGTATATTTTTCCAGATCACCCTAATGTTATCTGGATGTTGCAAATAACTTCCCATGACAAATTATAATGGCCGTTCTATTTGTGTCCTCCTTTCAGAGTGTACAAAATTTGGACACCGTCTTCCAAAGCTGTAATATAATGCTGACTTAGAAATGACAGTCCTGCATTACTCTACCTAGCAACGTTTGCTGTGTAACCAGGAACAGCGATTCCCAGGTCTCTCTGTTGAAGGCAAAGGAGAATTACGTGGGAAGGGGAGGAGGGAATAGAAACCACTGAACCGTAATAAATGGGCTTTGAGTTTAGATACCGAAATAATAGGTATTCGAATCAACTAGTCACCTTGAGCTCTCCAAGCAGCAGGGAAACAGGCATTTTCAGAGGATGATTTGTCTCACCTGTCTGTGAAAGGAATTTTCCTGATTTTCCTAAGAAAATACCCACATTTCATAGTGGATAGGGCGTATTTAAGAGGGCTAGCTGAAATACAGCTATCTAATCTACAGATGACTGAATTAGGGCAAAAGAGTCCCACTGGACAAATAATGTAGGTTCAGGCTCACCTCAGACACGCCTGGCTAATCCTTTTTTCTTTGTGAAGCAAACCTGTGTCACTGGTTCATCACAGGGTAGGTGGCTTGAACTTGCATTTAGTAAGGTAGCTGATGATACGGGGAAGAAACAAGGAATTTATAAAGAAGCTGTCAGAAGGACTTTTCATAACTCCTGGTAGTTAACACCGAGGTCTCAGCTAGTAATTTTATCTGCAGATCTCACTCTCTTCTCTAAGAAACTGCAGTATTGTGTTTAATTGACTTTTTGTCAGTTGTTAAATGTCTGAGGGTAGGAATGGCTCTGAAGAGATTGTCTTAGGGATCAGAAAGATAGGAATGTTACACAGCACTCAGTAGCACTAAAATCACTGTAAAATGCTGCTATTTTGATCTGAGTTGGTGGCCTCCTACCCCCACTGTGCCAAGAGAAACCACCACGTAAGATGCAAGGCCAGAAGACGACAAGTAAAGCAAAGCTCATTTTGGCAGTAGCCCACTCCTGCCTCCCCTTTCCCCTCACGGGTCTGAAGATGGAGGAAGAAGCTGTGTGTAAACAAGATCATTTAAGTTCTGCCTTCATTCCTAGGCCAGTCCCACCACAAAAGACTCAGGTCCTACAGAAATCACGGACAACATTGACTTCTTTGCTTCTGTAATGCTCGCCATCCACCATTTTGTCTGCTTGGCACCATTTCAGTATGAACGTGAAGCAGCAATATATCCCATGATATGTAACTACTATTCCTGTCTTACCGTTTTCCATAACCCTCATGCCAAGTCCACAGAAGTCGTCCCCTCTTCCCCTGAAAACAGAGACATGACTTGACTTGCGACTGTTTGATCCCTTCACGGTGTGGAAGGGAATTTCCTGGGTTTTGTCAGAGGAGTGGGTTATACATTTAATAGTGGATTAGTCATTTAATAGCAGACGGAGTCCATAGATGATAAATGAAATCACCTGTATCTTGTAGCTTGCACCCTTATATACGGTAGCAGAAATTCTCTTGCCTGATAATGGATTGGTACTGTTGCATGCATTTGTTTTTAAATTAGGCTGTGGGATTTTGCTGGCTGAAATGGTATTGGATGATGAGAAGAAGAAGAGGAGCACAGCTCTGCTGCAGTCTTTGAACATGCTCGTGCAGACAGAGGGAAAGGAGAGAAGCGGCTCTGAGTATCAAGGCTTACTGGAACAACATGGATTCACAAACGTCAAAATCAGATTGACAGGAAATTTGTTAGACGTCGTTCTCTGTGTTAAGACCTAGAAATAAATGGATTTACTAGTAAAGTCTGGATGTCTCTAGTCACCCATGATGTTGTGTAATTATGCAAATACATTCTCAGTTTCCCATCAGTATCATAAACAAGAAATGTCATCTTTTTGAAGTTACTTTTGAAAAGGGGGAGAGATTGATGGCATTTATTTTGAACTTGGAGTAGAAGGATGCAAGAGATTCTGGCATCATTTGATGGCACAGATACTGTGTCTGCACAGCACCCTCAGGAACAAGTCCCCAAGCACAAACAGTATTAGCAGCCCCATGGCAGTATTCACGTTGCTGGGAAATCAGAGTTTCTTCATACTTGGTGCAATTAGCACAGTCCAGTTTTTAGCCCAGCACACGTTGCTTTGCCCCTGTTTCGGGAGGTTAATGCAGGTACTGTTTCAATACTCCATCACCATCCATTTTAATATCATTTATGTCACACTCCCTACTGTAAATAAAGAAGCGTTGCTACTGAAGTCTGGAAACCGCTACTGCAGTGGTGGAGTCAAGATCGGAAACAAGAACTGGAGCAGCAGCTTCTCAAGAGAGTCAGGATGGACTCCTCTGCCTTCTGTGAGGTTTTTAGAAAAGGCAGTTATATAAAGCACAAGTTTCATCTGTGATTCTCATTGGAGGTGAAATGTGGGGGCACCACATTCGGTTCAAGAACATTCTCCCTTTTAAATGCTACTTAATTCATGAGCTCTTACCATAGCAGAATATGAGATTAGATAAAGAACAGAAAAGAAAAAAAAAAAGTGCAGAAACAGAAGGAAAAGCATGGTGCTAAAGAGAAAAGGGTTTCCCTCAGTGAGAGCCGTCTGAGCTCCCAAGGTGATCGGCACAGGACAACCAGTGACCAAACAGTTTCGTATCACAAAAGTTACGTACATTTTACCTTCGTCTTGCAAACCAACACCACTTCAGAGTCCCCCAGTATGATGTTCTTTTTTAATCAGTAGAAAACTTTATGGGGAGAAAAATCCCAGCCTTGCACACGTTTTGTTGTGCTATGAGAGCGTCAACATTCAGTTAAGAGATTTTTTAGAAAGGAAAATACCACACTAAGCTGCATGTGCCTGCCTGAGAATTCAGACCACAGCCTTTCATTAATTACGTGCAAGATGCGGTCCTGCGATGCTGTATGTGCCTAACCCTGTGGCGGGGTCACTGTATCTGTATTATGATTTAGAACAAAAAATAGCACACAACTTACTTTGTATGTTTTCATGTGCAAAAAAAAAAAAGGTATAGTGACGTATAATACATGGTCTATGGTATTGCAGCAGAGAGCAGGGCTGTGCCAGGCACATCCTGTTCCCACAAGACGCCCTTGGAGAGAAAGGGACGCTCTCATTTTGAAATCCTGCAAAGTACACACATGTGTAAGCAGTGGTTTCAGACACCTGAGCTACTGCAACTATGTGGTTCACCAGTCATCCATTAAAAAAAAATAATGTTTGGCTTTATTTACTTTTGTAGGAAACATCCATTAAAAGTGAAAGCAGTAACAAAGGGTGCGTGTGAACTAACGCCCTCCAGCTAGACCAATTTCAAGACTTACTTTGAGAAAGAACAGGTATAATTTCAGGCGGAAGTTTGGCCACTGGGTGCAAAATTTCACTTTCGGCATACAACAGAATGAGCAGAAATGACTGACGGAGACGGGGCCTGCCTCGGTAGGGGCAGAGGCCCCGCCACGAGTGCCACCCCGGCGACCTGGAGAAGGCCTCCTCACAGCATCCAACTTTGAGGCGCCCAAACAAGGAGCCGGGCCCACGCTTCCCCGTTGTCCCTCCAGGAAACCGCAGTTCAGTTCTTCTGGCATTTCGCCGCCTCGGATCGGTTCGGTGACCGGCGGTGAAGCCCGGCGAGGTGACGCTTGGCACCGCAGCGCCGGGGAGGAGCGGGTGGGAACAGAACCTGGCGGCGGCAGAGATGC